AAAGAAAAGAAAAGAAAAGAAAAGAAAAGAAAAGAAAAGAAAAGAAAAGAAAAGAAAAGAAAAGAAAAGAAAAGAAAAGGAGAAAAAAGTAAAGGTGTGCTTGAATATTTTTTCCAGGCCTCAGCATTGAAGGAAGCTTCCCATTGAGATGCATGCAAACTGTTTATGTGCCTGTTGGTCTTACTTGACTGGCTGGCTACTGGCCAAACACAACAGCACTGCCTTGCTTTTCATCCTTCAGTCTCCTTGCAGCCAGGAGGAAAAGAAATGTTTTTATTATTATTATTTTAATGTCTTTAAATTACAGGAACTCTGTAACAAACTCTTTGAACATTCTTCTGAACATTCCTCTGCCTCCTTTTCCAGCAGACATTGCCTACAGATGTTTCCTACCTGGGGATTTATTTACATACCTGCCCAAGCTTTTCCCTCTGAGGAAAACTAACTCAGACTTTTAAGCAGTTCTTCCGGTCTCTTGTACTCCTCTCATATTGCATACATTTTCAGAGAGACAACAGAAATCTCTGACTTTTTTTTGTTATTGTTCACAGTTCTGCTTCCCTCAGATGTTGTCTTGACAACTGGGAACAATTTTGTTTCTGCTTTGCAAATTGGCATTCAGAGTAAGGCAAATCCTAATGTAAATGTTTGGGGTTACTGAAGTCTTTGGTTTTCATCTCAGCTGCACACAGACTCCTTATATTTCCAACAGTGACAATGCTCCATTTTTGTGCTTGGGAAAGAAAGCCTTATGTAGTTCATCTGCAGTCCCATGCAGAAAAGGCAGCATTTCAAAAGCAGGTGAAGTGTTTTTCCCTCTCAGCAGGGTAGAAATCCCACGTACTCACATTCTTCTGAGAGGAGAGAGCTGTAAAACTGGTGGGAAGCTGTGTCACCTAGCTTGTGAAAAGCTTCTGGCGCATACTTTGTGATTATGGGTTCATTAAAAAAACATTCTGCCTTTAGAGTTAGCAAGGTGTATGTATATAAGCTCTTTCCACATACAGTTATCCAAATTAGGATGTTAGGGTCTGGATGCACAGACAACTAGATGGGTTAAAATATGGTGGTTTAACAGGGTCAGAGGGAAGTGGTTAAAGGGTGATACCCTGCCTGGATGCCTGTCCTGTTTAATATCTCTCTCAATGACCTTAAGTAGGCCACAGAGCACATGCTGGTCAAGTCTGCATATGACACCAAACTTGGGGGTGCAGCTGACATGCTTGAGAGCAGGACTGCCAGTTCAGTGGCATGTAAAGAAAACTGCTTCTTCTCTGAGGACAGATTGCCCATTGAAGCTCCTTGGAGGCTTTCAAGACTGAACCAAATAAAAGCTGATAAGCCTGGTTTGACCTTGTGGTTGACCCTGTTTGGAGCAGAAAGCTGTAGCAGAAACGTTTTGAAGTCCCTTTCCACTAGAGTTATCCTGGTGTACCTCATAGAAGCATTTTTTTACGGGAGGACCCACACCATGCAGATAAAGTCTCTCCTCCGAAACAGTGGTCTCTTTTCCATCATCTGCTAGGAATGGTTTATTTTCTGATTTACTCTTTCCCTGCCTAGGCAATGTAGTAGTACTCTGGGTGAGTAGTGGTTGTTATGGTAACATATAACCAAAATGAACTTCACTGGGGTAGTGTGAAACCCCATGCTTTGGACTCACTTTTACTTGTGAAGTCAAGTCTGAATTGTTAAGTTTCAGTGTACAGAAATCAAACTTCCCATCCCCTAAGCTCAGCAGATCTCACTCACAACCTAACTTTCATTGGCATTTCCAAGTTATTGTCACAAGAGCTTGTTCACACATCACAGTTCTGGTCCGTATCTTGCACTGGTTAAGATGCACTTGACATAAAGAATATGTTTTCCAAACAAACTGCAAAGTAGTTCCGGGTTACCATGAGTAAGACCTCACATTGTATATGCATGTAAGACACAACAAAAACATGTGTGTATAGTGTATCATAATTTATTGCAGTTTCTGCCCCAAACTATAATAGTATTTGCTCTGTTCCAGAAACTCCCTGTAAATAAACTCCTTGTGAATAAATTTCTCCACTCCTTGTGGAGAAATTGCAATCAACATGCTGCTGACTCCTATTTTTTGGTTGAAGAGGCTTATTTTCATGCAAAGGCTTCTATTAGTATATGACTATGTGGAAAAATAATACCAGGAAAGTATGCAATGATGGTAGTAGTTTGTGGGTCATACATTTTACGCAGGAAAATTCATATTCAAGGAAATCTACGCTGCAGAGTTTCTCAGCAGCCTTGACTTCTAATGTGGAATGTATCCTTAAGTATGAAACCAGGTGTGGGCAGAAATGCATTTTTAAGAAAACTGACATATTGAGGTGTGACAAAACCCTGTTTCAAATTAGCTCTCATCTTGGGTCATTGATTCCTTCCTCTTACAGTTGTCTCCATACAGGTCTTTCTGGTAAATATAAAAGCAGTAAAACAGCTGATCCTTATGTATGGTTTTTCTTGTCTCTTCTGCTTCAGGACTACATTCCTCCTGAAGTGTGACGACCCTACAATGAATAAAGACAGGTTTTTCTTATGTGTGTGAGCCATGCAACTGATTTGATAGAATTTGCCCTGGTTTTTACCCCTAGAACATCCCTGCTTTTTTGAAAACTGCTTGTATTTATTGGAATACTAATTTATAATACCATCATGCTGACTGAAACCAACACTTTGCTTTTACTTTGCTTAACAGAATGACTGAGGTAAAATATATGCAGGAGGACTTTATTTGCTAGCATTTACATCCTTTCTCTTTGAAAGCAGCAGTTCTGTTTCACAGCTCATCTTCCCTCCATTAATTCCCAGTTTACCTCTGCAGTAAGCTCATACTGAAAATAAATTTACTAATCTTTTCCCGCCTCATAGTTTTGCACTTGCTTTGTAAATTTTTTTGCAAGTACTTAGTTTCCTTCTTCATCATGCCAAGACTTGCCATGGATTCTGCTAATTTTTAACATACTGAAAATAATTAACATTCCTCACAGGATGCAGGAAAGCTCTTTACTTTACCTGGCTAGGGAATGCTACCACAGTAGAATAAACTGTGTGCTGATTTGCACCATAAAAGAAGCAAATCTATCACAAATGCAGAGACGGTGTCACTAAGTGGTCCCATTAGAGCTCCGATTTTTCTTTGCCAGGAAATGAAAGCTTGACTCCATACTTTGAAAAGCAAACACATGTCACAGAGCAGCCCCAAGTCTGCACCGACTGTTTATGACTGTTTCCCTTCTCCAAACAAGGAGCAGTTTAAATGCCAGAAGGTCTGTCTGGAGCTGCGGCTGTTCTCTGTCATAGTGACACTGTCCAGGCAACAATTACATTTTCCAAGAGTTATGGGGTTTAAAGTACTGATTTGTTTTCCTTATTCAACCTGCCACAGCAGACATTTAAAATGATGTGATCCTATGCAGGTTTCTCAGAGATAACCAGTAGCAGAGATACAAATCCAAGAGGTGAACTCAGAATAGATGTCATGGAAACATGCAGTTCTGGACAAACCAATTCCCACCCTACCGCCACCCCCTCCTTTTTCAATTTTTTAAAAGGTATTTAACTGTTGGGGGGGGTAATATTTTTTTTAAAGTATTACCCATCAAATACAACCTTACAGTTTAATCTGCAGGACCATCTTCCAGAGACATTTTAGGAGAAACACATTTGATCTGACACTGGAAATCTGGCCTAGTTACTTTGGACATATCTTTCTTGAGGAACAGGCACAAGTTGCCTTGAGCTCTCTGCTTCTGCTTGTACCTGCATTGCACGAGCTTGTGCAGGCCTGGAAGGACTTTGCTGCCTCTGTGCTCCCTCGTGGCTCCTCAGCCCCGGGAGGGCTTTGTGGCTTGCAGTGTAACACAGTGGGAACACAGGAGCAGTGACCTGTCTGTGTGAATCTACGGGCTCAGAGCGTGGAGCCTGAACTCCATCCCAAATCACACGACGTGGCCACACCAGAGAGAACTTCTCATCTCTAGACGAGCTCCAGGACACCTCTAGTTCCCTGGCAGCCTGGCAATCTGGGATCTATACTCAGAGCAGTTGCCGGAATTTCTATAGACAGCTTACTAAGAACATCTCAGGCTTTTCAGCATAGGATGCATTTTTAAAAGCATATGACCTCTGTCTTCCAGCTGGAGGAAAAGTTGAAATTGATTAAGGAGGCATACAGTTCTCATATTCATTGACTGTAACTTGTAGGCTTGTGCCTCTTGAAAAAAATTTCTCCTTTAGGAAAAACATACTCTTGAAGCACTTGTAAACAACATCTGAAAGTAAGGCCATTCAGGGGACACTCATTGTCCTCAAATGTCAGAAAGTTTATGTCAAAGCTTATGTTTTCCTCTTGAAATGGAACAGCTCTTTCTTTTGGCTGTCACATTGTTAGAGGAAGAGTTCAGCAACAGAGGGAAATGAAGGTTAAAGCGAAGCCATTCATCTTGTTAGCACTGTAGCTGCACAAGAAGTGAATAGTGTGAGACATTCCAAATTATGTACTTATTATCAGGAAATAAGTCTATTCCACAATTGGAGCCAGCAACTGTTCTACCACTGACTATCTCTCATATTTTAAAAGACTCATTTCTTTTGTCTGCTTGGTATCTGAAAGCAAGGCATACCCACAGTTCTCATTTATTTCTTTAATCAGCAGGCTGTACATACTAAGGCCATTGGTGTGACTTGGTCTTCTTATTGGTAAATAATAGACTCATGATAACTATTTCTGAAGTATATTGTAAAAGAGTGCCACAGATCACTGTAGATTAATACAAAACATTCTTCTCAGTGCTAAGTTAATAACTCTATGTTTTCTATTAACCTCTACCATAGCAATTCTTCACCATGGAAAATAAACAACACAGCTGTTTTCAGATTAAAATAAAAATAACAGTAACCCTGGTAAAGATTTAATTCCTTTTTTTCAATACACATCCTACCCTGAGTAAGATTTATAGGATTATAGTGAAATACATTAGAAAAACGTGTGGATGGTTGTAGCAATGTAAACCACAGAAAAGATAAACTGTTCCATGTCAACTGTATTCTAGCTAAAAATGCCATTATGAAAATACCTTTTTCTGTCAACTTTTCCTGCTGTCTCACACACAGGCCAAACTACTTACACCCCTTATCACAAGATTTCCTTTTCCAGTCTTTAACACACAATTACCTTCTTTCTCCTCTCTTGACAATGCCACTGGTGCTTCAAGTCTCTTGTGCCCAAACATCATACACCCAATACTATCCACAAATAGATTTGAAAAGCTGAACAAGAGTTCCTGCTTTCTGCATTTTATTGCAAACAGATTGTACAGACTGAATAGACTACCACTTGTTGAAGGTCTCACATTACTCTTTTCTCCCTACAAGTCCTTCCCCAAACTTTACACCTGTGTATGCATCTGGGTTTAACAAACAATTCCACTAAATACACCCTGCTGGCCCCTGCTCCTCAGTGTTTGTTTGGGACCAAATAACCCAGTGCCTAGAACCCACAATTGCTATAATACAGGTCTTCTCACAGCTGCTTTGCCAGCCTCTTTCCTAGGGCCCCCTGTCACCTACCCTGGCTTGGTCCTACAACACCCCAAACGGCAGCAGCAAATTCAGGCACTTGGCAATTCCCAGGCTGCTCACTGCTCCCCTAGCCCAATTCTCTTTGCTATGAGTTCAATGCCAGAAGTGCTCATAGGGTACTGTGAAGGTTACTGTAGATGGCTTTTCCCAAATGAAATGTCCAATGGCAAATCCTCACTAACAAGGGCAAAGAGTGTCTCACACTCGTTTCATGACTCCTCTCGGGTACATTGCCACGTGTGGTTTATAAATGCTACCGTGTTTGTGAATAAATTATGTGTCTGTAGGGCCATGGTAGGTGGCTCACAAGTTGATATACACCTTGTATTCGTGAGCAAAACATTTAACGTTTTCAGTTAAGTACTTGATTATACGAGTACAGACCAAGCTACAGCAAAACCTCACTGTGCCAGGCAGACCACTTTGGGAAGACCCTCAATGGCTGTCTTATATGACCTTTCTCCCCTTCATGATGATTATCCCTACGCATTAAACACTAGGGTATCTCTAAGTGCAGACACATTTTGTGTAAATTACCCTCAGGGTTCAAAAAATTGAGATAATAGAAAAGGAATGGGACACACCACAGAGCCCTGCTACATGGATAATCAATTGCATTTCCTTCTTAAGAACGCAGTGCAAGCCAGACAACCTTGAAATGCAGGGGCTTAGGGAACAGTCTCAGAAATGAGTACAGCAATCATCAAAGAGAAATGAATTAGAAGACCACACAGAGTTCACGTGAACTTGAGCACTGCTGTCATAGCACTATTTGAAATTTTTCTTTCTGGAACAAAAGGAGTCAGTAGGCATCTGCCTATGAAACAAGACACACTTCAGAGCAGCTCAAGTCCCCAAATAATTTATTTTTGGTAATTGCATAGATTTGCTTTTTGAACATTTCTTAGTGGAGGAGCCTTAAGAGGCTGTATGGTAATGTGGAGAAGTTAATAGAGAGGGAGGGGAAGATGACAGCAGTCAGAAAGAAAAGAGAAGGAAGCTAAAGGAAGACTCTCACTGCACTTACAGAATGCAGAATAACACTGCATGCGTCTGCAAAAAGTCTGCAAGATCACAGCAATTCAGAAGTGTGCCATCAGATTTACTTTTCAACTGAGAGGTCCATAAAAGAAGTTCAAAGAACTGACTCTCAGTTCTGTTTCTGAGTAGAGCAAAAAGCAGCTTTTTAAGCTTGTGTTGTGCACAGTCTCATCTGCCCAGCACATACTGCCGGTCAAGATTATGGAACATTTTCCTTGCTAAGCGCCAAACAGATGTTACGAAACACATTTGGTAGAACATATAAAAACACACATCTTAGTGATTTCTCATAATAATAGCTAAACAAAGTGTCAAAATCTGGAGTTGATGGGAGAATGCAAAATTAAATACTGGTCCATAGCTGGTCTTCAATTTTAAAACCTTCTATGACCCTGGATTTTTTGAAGATGTGCTATCAGACACTCAGGCTTCAAATCAGTAAACTAAATATGGAGACTCTCCTCAGGCTGAGTGGGCACTGTTCATGGTCTCTTCTCTTTCTCCTTTCTGCAGCATCTGTCTGCATGACCTGTGAAATACTGCTGTAATTTCTTACCACTGGCAGAGCATCACAAGGGCTTTGCATATCCATGTGTCCTTGGTCAGAACTGAGAAAACAGACACTGACCAGGCCTGATCTTCAGCTTCCCACACACACTCTGGGATGGGTGTCTTTGTACAATAACTCAGAATCTGTGTGATCATTGTCAAAGGACAGGAAGCATGAGAACAAGATATATTCAAAGAAGTTGACTAACTTGAGGCTCTTATAAGGTCATGCTTGAGTTTCATATGCAGACACATTTTTCATTTGTCAAGGAAAAATGATTTGTTAGGAATGATGTTCCAACTGAATGATCTTTCATATTGAAAAAGGTAAATATGACTTTGAAAGCAACTTAATAGCCTAGAGTACCTCCACTTTCAGGTAAAGGTTCTGCTTCTGATTTCCCCAACAGTTATAGGTTTGGGCTTCAAATACACACAGAGCGCCTCATAAAAACTCAAACCCATCCCAATAAGTATATTCCTAGTGAGTAAAATATTTAAGCCTGTGCTTAAACTCCAGTGATTTAACAAAATGTAAACATGTACAAGCACTGGCTGGAATGTGCTTGAATCAACTTCAATCAATTCAACTTGAATTCAGGTGGGCTGGATTAAGTCAGGAAAAGGTTGTCAGGATTTCTGTAAGGATGTCTTAACCCTGTTAGTCTCAACATGAGTTAGGCTATTTGTTTCCACTGGGACAGCATCTCTCTTACAGGGAACCTGATGATTCTCTTTGCTGTTTCAGAGTGAAGCAGACAACTCCAGTAGCAACTCCCGTGTAAAACGGTGTAATATAAGGAGTGCCAGGTTTCCATTCAGACTTCAAATATAATGTTGACAGAAAGTACTGGACAAGCTTCCAGCCCCTTCCTGAATCTGCTCAATATCTGTAAAAATGAATTACAGTATTACTTGCCTATATCCTAGGGAAGCAGCAATTATAATTTGGTTAATAATTGAAGAAGCACTTGAAGGTTCTCAGATAAAATACACTGCACAAATACTGTCCAGTCCCATATTTTTACACTATAAATAAAGCAGAAAGAGGAAACAACAAAGAGTAATGGATTAATTGTTACATTCATTTAATATAATTCATAAATGGATAAATGCTTAGAGTCATTTGACTTGGCAACATTTACTGCAGTCTACAGCCACAAACCAAAGAGACTCACAGGAGGCTGGAGCAAATCCCTGCAATAAAGACATAAGTAATAGTGGAGTTTTATCTTCTTGTTCAGATTGCTTTTATCCCAGAGCTGCAGATATATATACATATATTCCAGTACTGCAGTTTTCTCTTAACTGTTCTAAAGTTGCTGAATTTTATTCAAATAGCTACCTGAATTAGTTGTATAGAGGAGAAAGGCAGTCTTGTGAGACTGTATCTTGTGGTGCTGTTAAGAAACAAGAACTTTCAGAGAAGCAGGAGAAATCTACTTATTGAGTTGTAGTCATTCAACTGGACTCTTCTATAAGATGGTGAATTATATTACCTTCTCTTTCCTTAATGTAAAGGTTAACAACAGAATATCCAGGCCACTATGGAGAAGATATGGACATGATGATGTACACTTACGACTATTACATCCGTGGGGCAACCACGACTTTCTCTGCTGTACACAGGTTTGCTTTTCATCTGTTTCATTAGAAATTTTTAAAAGTCTGTCTTTTCTATTTCCCCCCAACAGTGCATAGCTATACACCATCTGCTGTGATACTCAGCATCACGCTAGTAATGCTGAGGATAAAAGTTCACAGTACATATGATTAATTGTCCAGAGTGGTGTATCAGGAGCAGGGCATGCTGATGGGGATCATTTTCCATGTCCATCTGAGCAGTGAAAAATACAGCAGTGGTAGATTGGGCTGAATCTGACCTTCACAAAATGCAGCGACCTTCAGTGTAGTTTCTCACCTACCTCTGGTTGGAGCATATTTCCTTGAGCTCAGTAAAAACGCCCTGTGCCTTCAGGGAACGAGAGACCTATTTTGGTCCACTTTTCTGTGCAGAGAAGCAGGGAATCTGCCAGCATGCAAAGTTAAGACTATATAAACTGCAATTTAAATGCTTTAAAATGCCCAATGCATTTCATTGCAATTCTAATAAATTCAACCAGGAATAGATTCCACTCCAGGAATTCAGGCAGTGTCGTGTACCTTGATCCCTTTCCAGAAAATGAGTTAACTACATTTTCTTGATCAGTCCCGGTCATTTCTTGGCATTTGCTAATCCTCTTGGGAGAAGCTCTATGTCTAGTGAAGTTGTAGTCATGCAAATGGATTCACAATTTTCCCATTCAATTATAAAGGAATGTTTCTCTCTTTTTACTATGCACAAACTGCGAAGTTTTAAATTTGGGTTTAACAGAAATCCCACACTGTTGTCTGCCTAGGGCTACAGAGATCCTAACAGGTTTAAGAAAAGTGTAAGCAGTCACTGATTGTGGTAGAGGGATCTTGATTCTTTCAAGCTGCCCTCTAATACATCAATCGTGAGCTATTTCTTTGCTGGTGTCTTTTATTAGGCACCTCAGTCCAGTAAATCAAAGCATTTGTTATCAAGCACAACACAGACAGCAAGGAAGGCGTGCTGCACTGCTCTGCCGAGATGAGCTACATGAGAAGGGGGAGAGAAGAGAGAAGTGGGAGTTTAAAGACATCAATATTTCAAGCTGTCTCTAATAACAATCAAAGCAGCCAAAGTGCTTTTGTCACTGTAATGCTCTCAGCCTGCCAAAGTTTGCTATAGGGATCCCTCAAACAAAAGGTTACCTAAAATAAGGAGCCTTTTCCAGAAGTGATAAAATGCTGTAAGTCTGCTGTGGGTCCATAACTGTAATTTCCTGGCTAAAATACATTATCCTGTTTATTACCAAATGGAAGCCGTGTCTGCAAATTCCTCCTACAAGTGGAAGAATAACTTTCAGATACTTGACTCAAAGCTATCTTTTATCACTTTAGATAAAGAAATTACAAGGTCATAAGGTACAGCCCCATTTAGGGCTTTTCATCTTAAATATTCCCCGTGCTATCCTTAATCCCTGTTCCTCATGGTTGTGGCAGAGAGTAGGGGAAATAATGCAGACAGTGCATTCCCCTGCAGCTGGAATCCAGACTCCATCGGATGTGGACTTAGGTAAAGTCTGGAATCACTAGGACAAGCCTGGAAAACAAAGCAGCTGAGGTAGCCTATACCTCTGAGCAGATTTCTGTCTGTGACTGCTGAAGGCAGCCGTCAGAACAGGGTGGCAGTGGGGCGACTGGTCAGGAGCAAAGGCAACATAATGGGAATGTACATCAGGAGTACAGGTCGCCACAGGACCACAGTGCCTAGAAGAGGAATAAGCCACCAGCACACCTTTGCCCTGTCTGGTCTGGTGGCAGTCATACACCTGCAATAGTAGCAGTTTGAAACTACAGAGAAAATATATCATGAATTGCAAACTAGAAGAGTTTTCTGCACCAGTGAACTTTCTGGCCCTCAGCTTCCAGGACAACCGGAAACAATTTGTGCTGCCAAAAGAATGAAGTGAAAAAAAATCTTGCTACACTAGTTCAGAATTCAGATTTAGGCTGTAACACTCCTCCTGAGCAGTATGAATCACAAAAGTCAACAAAATTCGTCATCCTTAATGGTTCTTTGCAGCTCATAATGCAGAATAGGAACAGGAAAAGCTCTTCTGAGTCTCAGCCTGCATGGAGAATGCACATTTCCACTTGTCTATGTGAACATTTTAAAATTCATTTTCAAACACATTAAACTTGTGTCCATACTATATTTAGTTCATGATGGACAGTGTTCTTGAGCTAACAAGAGGCAAAAAAAAGCCTCTGAAGGTATTTTAGTTTAAGCTTTCCCAATCACTTCAAACAGGTAAGTATTTTTAGACTTTCAACAAACTTGCAGAAATCATATATTTCTTTCCTACTCCCTAAGACATTGCATCACTGAGGCCACTGTTATACAAGGATATTTGAGACAGCATGTAATGCTTGTGGTGAAGGATGTAGAAAGTTTAGAATGATGTTATCCCCATCAACACTTCTCTAATCATTCTCTGTGAGTTTCCATGCCTGTGTAACAGGTATGAATCAAAGAGTTATTGTTGATTATCAAATGTTTTTACTCCTCTTTTGTGGAGAAAAGACTTCAGAAGTGGTTACTATTTACATTTTCCAGTCTCATTTTAAACAGGTCAAAAGGAGAAAACAACTGTCTAAAAATCAAGGTAAAAGCAGCTGGAAAGAACTAGAAAAGGCCTGAAATATCTCTGGGAGCCCATTCAGGAGTGTGGTGATAACACTAATGCAGACAGGACGACCTAAGGACATAAAGGGAACATTTGCAGGGAAGGGCAGTATCTTTTGTTAGACTGGCTGATACAGTCAGATTTCAGAGAAGGACATGGGCTATGTGAAGCAGGCTGTAAACAACTGAAACTGCCCTCATACACATGCACATTGCAAACCCTTGGCAAAATAGCTTCCAAAATTAAATCTACAAACCAAACAACATAATACCTTCAGCCTGAGCTCTGAAACATGCCAAGTGATGATGGTATGGCTTTCTGGTGGAGCACTGTTACATGGCTGTGATCTGGTTGGATCAGTCCTCTGAATCCAGATAGCACCACTGGAACACTCACAACCCAACCTGCAGCAAGTATCTTGGACAGGGAGGCCAAGATACCAGGCGTTCTTGGTAAGAGCCACAGCTTGTCCTTCACTATGTATGTCATAATCTCATTTCTTTACAAAACTTCTCTCTGCCCCATTTATTGGGGTGGTCTGGATAGACTGTTATTTATTAACTGCTCAAACATCATCAATGAATAATAAATCGACAGCCAGATATCCCAACAGTAAAGCATATTTGAAATGCCCAGAGAAGCTGGACATCCACCAAGGTCAGCTGATTTAAATTATAGGCTATTTAAGGTCCCTAATACATTTCATATGACTGATGAAAGAGGATTTTGTCAGACTCAATATGAATAGGAATTCACAGAATTTTTAAATTGAATTGGAAACAGATTATTCAACAATATTTGGAGATAAAAGAAATTTCTCTATACATCAAAAATTCAAATCTGACAGCACATGACAGCTGGAAAGCAAAAGTGACAGTTCAATATTGATTCCCAAAGCCAAGGAAAATGCATGAATTTAGTAACTGGGAGGGGATGACACCTACAAACTCGTGTTAAGGATCTGCAAAGGCAAGCTCAGATATATTCTAAAGTACACCTCATAAGGCAATTTCTGATGGCATCTGCATCCCAGTTGGTAAACTACAAATTGAAACAGGCTGATAACTACTGAATTAAGCACACAGCAGCAATAGTACAAAGTAGTTGCCTGCATCCTAAGAAGCTGGGTATATATGCTTGAGTTCAAACACAAGTAACAGGGGAAAAAAAGGTAATATGCTATAAATGCATCAACCATGTGCATATATGCTAGTGTCTGCAAGTCCAAGCTGAAATTACAGCTTCAGAAATAATTCTGTTCCATATTTTAAAGCATGTTATTAACTCAGGTGACTAAAATACATTTCTTTTAAAGAGCTTGACTTTTAATTTCACAGTGTCCTATTTTAGAAAAACTACTTAATCTAAGATTTTGAACTAAAAGTCTCTCTGACAACGGGTGCTAACTTAACTGACCTCAACTTTGACCAACATAATCCTGTTTTCCACAGAGGAGTCTGCTTTATTTTTTGTCTTTCTTGGTAACGTAGTGCCCAAAGGAGTAATAGCTGTGTTTGAAGAGCATGCACATAGACCAAATAAGGAATCCTTAAAATAAACCTAAAAATGAATCTTGCATTTCATTAACCTTTGGTAACAGTTTTACAAGGAAATTACAATTTAAAAACATCTAGGAAATATCTAAAGCAAACCAAAGACAAACACTATATAACTGTTACATCACACTTGCTGATGAGCATAACACAGACCCAGTTCCAAAGGACACTCGGGATAAACCTGTAACTTAGTAGCACAGTAAATGTCCAATTAAAAAACCTCAGTTAATGAAAGCTGCAATGAGACATTTTATACCTACAGGGTAGGCACAGAATGTATACCTACAGGGTTAAGAGTCAAATTGGTCTTATTCCAGGACAGAGTCACCCGGTCAATGACACCAGGTAAGCACAGTTAATACCAAAATCTGGGCTGAGGGGTCTCAGCACATTCCCAAGAAGCAGCAGTTTGGCACCAGTTTGGTGCAGGGGTCTTTAAATGCAAGCTCCTATTAAATCACCCCAACAGCACGACCTGCCCCATGCCTCAGCCTTAGGACATCACTATTAGCAGAATTCAAGCTTTCAGAAACCTCTTAGAGGACTACCCATTATCAATAGAAATGACAACTGCCATCTGCAAGGACTGCAATTTGGATCTAAATTCAAGTTAGCCAGTGCCAAGCAGCCTAAAATCAACATTCTCTTCACAGCAGGACAGTATTCGATCCTCTGGACTCATGCTTATTTGTCAGAGGAAAATGTAATGCAAAATAAGCTAAAGTGGAAATTAAATTTGTAGCGTGTTGTGGCTATTGAACACTAAATCACTGGCTTCCACTGTTGAATCCCACTGCTCCAGTCAGGCTTCCCACTAACAATTGTTAGGTTCCCTATCACTCTCTTGAGAGAGAATACCACTCACAAACTGGGAAGAGCATAAACTCTCCTTACGTTCAAAAATGTTAGTCTTCCTCACATGTGACTTAATCAAGGATGAGAACTGAATTTCATTTCTCTCACTGTTGATTCCTCCAGGTCTTTATTAAAGGACACTAACTGTAAGACCTAGCAATGAAAGACATTTAACCAAAAAAAAAAAATTTGTAAAGATAATTCCCCTCAGACATAGCTTGCAAATCACCCAAGTACTTTTCACTTTTTACATATTACTGAACAATATAATGACATGACAATAACTTCTGACAGAATCATCCTTCTCCTCTTGGTCACCGATTAAAAGTCAGTTCAGGACTGATCACCATCAGGAGTCATTGTCTTCTGAAGGATACTCAGACTACTTATTTTCAGAGAGCTGATTTTCTTATCTTGTAAAGAAGTGTGAGGGAATTGTAACTATCACACATATTTAATGTCCTTTTGGCTCTTAAAAACACGGAGCACTCGGATGAAAGTCAGTTAATGGCAGACAGAGGTTTTTTGTTGCCATAATACCTGGTATAAAGTTATTCTTACTTGTATAACATCTTCTGCAATTCTGGCTCACTAATACCTCTCTCTTGTCTCTCTTTCATGCAGGGATCGTCAGTGGAAGTTCATTGTCTGCAGGATGACAGACTATGACTGCCCATTTCAAAATGTTTAAAAAGATAGAGTGTAATTCACTTGGAAATCTTGGGGACAGACAGGGTGGGATGAGGATTAGTGATTACAGTAGAAGGTCAGTTAGGCTCACAAAAAGGTACCAAGACTCATCAGCTGTCTGCTGAAGACATAATTCTTTCCCTCTGGAGCTAATACATAAATTGCCAGCCCACATGCATTCTTTCAAGCTGCACTGACAGTTGCAGCCCCCAATTCAATTTGCTTATGACATACATGTTTATGATACACAAATCTATGGCATATGCACAGTTACCTTTCTTATATATACATGTAGCCATTCTAAACATGTACAACTTCCTCTCACACAGCAGCTCTATATTAATGGCTTCCTGGCGCAGCTGCTCCAAATGAGGTGGAAACATACTATAGACTTCCCAATATACACTAGACTTTCCTGTCTTCTACTTTGTACTTGGAACCAGTCCAGTGATCTCTACCAGCTTATCAGAGCTGGAAGTGTGCAGAAAATGTTATTGGGAGGTGTCTGATGGTGTGATCTGGCATCACCTCTTACAGCCATCAGCATAACTCCACTGCAACAAAGATCTGCCTACACGGGAGAATTCTGGGTATTTATAACAGGAAGACATCAATATCTAGTAAAAAGGAGATTAGATCCACCAATAAAAACAGAAGTCTATCCCAGCTTTACTGAGAGTCTCTTTTATATTGTCTTAAAAATCTCTAATGACAAAACTAACCAAGGACTCTGATCTGGGCAAACCCAGGAGTAGGTCACACCACTCACTCTCACTAAATATGGGTATCACATTCTTCAAGAGTCTGATTTTCAGGTGGATTTTTTTTCCACTATGGGTGCCTTCTTCCATCCATCTTCCCTTGGTAATAAATTCTTGGCTTAGAATAGACAAAGTTAGTCACTTAGGTTCCTTCAATTTGCAGATCCTATTGCCTATAAAGTATAAACTGGCCATGTTTCAATACTGCAGAGCACTTGTGCAGCCACACTCCAACAAGAAAGAATATTGATTTGTTTCAGGAATATCTGAGGCAGGATCTTTACTCTTGAAAAAGCCAGAATCTAGGGTTCAGTTTCTTAGTTGATTAATTCAATGGTGAAATTAGCAGCGGCTTTGGTGGTGCTGGCTCAAGGGCCATGATGACTCCATGTGCCAATTTAAGACTGCAAGGCTTCACATGAAACAGTGGTGTCTGCCTGTGAGTTTCCATATTCCAAGCATTTTTAGCATGTTTACAAGCATACCCTCTTGTCCAATAAAGGAATGATAGGTTTTGCTTTGCTGTAGCCTTGTTCTTTATTGATTTTACTTACACAGCTTTTTAATTTGCACACAAACAAACCCTCTGTCACTCTCAGAGACCATGAAGGTGATTAGGGAGTTCTATGAGAGCCAGTTGATGAGATATGTAAGTAACATTGAGAGAGAATTTGATAAGCTTAGGCAAGTTAGAGTAGCTTGTTCACTGAACTGATAGAAAGGCAAAGGAAGCCAAAGGAACTCCAAACAGTAGAGCACTAGAAGAGAAGGCACTCGTGCCAGGGAATCAATGGAAAAGGCTGTGCACTAAAATTAGGCACAGGAGGATCATCCCTGAGAACACCTGCTCTAGATGGAAACCCATCTCCCACACAACTTTATCTTGACTACTTAGGCTGCTCTTCATTCTGTGTGCACACCGTGGGCTTATGAAAGCCTCTGAGGGGACAGTACAATATCATCTTAAGCTGGTTTAAATTTACAGAGCCACAGAAAAGAGCGGTTCTGCTCTCTTGTCCTGGAGTTGCAGTGTCATATTTTCCCACCAAACAGAATCATTAAGGTTGGAAAAGACCTCCAAGATCACTGAGTGCAACCTGTGATGGAATGCCTTCATGAGAATGATACCACAGCACTAAGTGCCATGTCCAGCCATTTCATGAGCATGTCCACTGATGATGCCTCCACCATCTCACTGGGCAGGCCATTCCAAGGTCTAATCACTCTTTCAGTGAAAAAAGTCTTGCTGATGTCCAGCCTAAACTTTCCTTGGCACAGCTCAAGGACATTTCCTCTCATCCTTGTCATTGGTTGCGTGGGAGAAGAGCGTGACTCTCACCTTGCTACACTCTCCTTTCAGGTAGCTGTAGAGAATGATAAGGTCACCCTTGTGCCTCCTCTTCTCCCAGGCTGAACAACTTCAATTCCCTCAGCTGGTCCTCATAGGACTTGTGCTCCTGAGCCTTCACTAGCTCCATTACCCCTCTCTGGACTGACTCCAGGATCTCAACATCTTTCTTCTTGTGAGAGACCCAGAACTGGACACAGAATCTGAGGTGCAACTTCACCAGTGCCAAGTACTGAGGGACAGTCACTTCCCCAGTACTGCTTGACGCAATATTTTTTATACAGACCAGGATGCCATTGGCCTTTTTGACCACCTGGGCACACTGCTGGCTCATGCCTCTGTTCTCTCTCTTCCCTGTCCCAGTCCCTGGTTTCCACCCATGCTCTATTCCCAGCTCCACCCTAGCAGTGCATCTGTGTAGGATACATTTCACAGGACTCCTCTTCAGAAAGTTAAGTAATTCTCAGATGAGGAAAGGCGTGGGTGGGAAACAGAATATATCCTGGGGGAAGGCAGAAATGGGATGTGGACCAAAAAAAAACCCAAAAAGCAGAACAGAGGCTAAGAAAGAGTGTTTCCTGTGAAGCCCTAGGACAGCTAGTTAGCAAAACTAGGAACTGACCTTAGCCCTTATCTAAGTTTTTCTCTAAGTTGCAATATCCACTTTCAATGTTGAAGTAACCCTTCTGTATGGGAAAACACTGCTCCAAAGCTGTTAAGATTCCTGCCCAAATTCCTTAGCACAGAGTGAGGTGACAACAAGCCTGTTTCATAAACGTTTGCCAGCTTCAAAACCTCATTAAGTTTGCTTTAACTTTTCTAAAGCCATTCTGGGAAAGTAAGCCTTTCAAACTTCTTAGGACACCTTACCAAACCTTTCAGTCCTTCTGGCACAAACCAGATGCCTTTGCAGAGAAATGAAGAGTTGTGCCCAGTCAGACCAAGTACAGCCCAGCACAGATGGCCAGTGCAGGGAACCCACTGCACTTCTTCATTCTCATGTGTTCCATGGCACAGAAGCACCACACCTGCACTTTTGCTATACAGAGTAAAAGTCATCCCTGACATCAGAGTAAACACAAAGCCCAACATTTTAAATAAACCCCTAGTCTTTAATAAATAAGACATCAGGAAATAATGTTTCATTTATTTAATAAATAACAACAGTATGGATTGAATTCAAACATCTGAGAGAAAAACATTCCTTTGTAAATTCTGAGCTTTGCCCCAGCCATGCTACAAGGGCTGCAGATGGCACACTGTCAGCAATTTTTTTGAGAGAAACTAGGGCAGGAAAATCTTTGCATTCACAAAGGGAAATGCAGCAAACTTCAAGAAACAGAGAGAACCTTTTGAGCTTTTCTGAATGGAATTAAAAATGGTGAACTGAGGTGGCCTGGCTGTGGAAGAGAAACACCAAAGGGCACCAGACTCCCTTTGTGGGTCTCCTTTAACCTGAAATTCAGCAAAGGCAGGTGCTACGCCAAACCCACATCTTCCATTTGATCCACTCGACTTGAGCAGAGGTTTGAGTAACAAAATAGCTTAAGTAATAGGGGAAAACAGATAGTCAGAGAGAAGGACTTGACTGCTCTTATTCCTAAATCTCAAGATTAACTTAAAAACCATGAGACTTCTGTTAAAAAATAAAAAGAATGAGCTCTGTTTTATAATGTATTCTGATTTCTCAATTTGCAGAGTATATAAGCACTTTCAGTATTTTTCACTTTCAGTAATTTTCAAGTGCTTTAAACAGTGTTTCCAATTACTTCTCAACAATGCTGAGCCTTGAAATGAGTTTCTTAAGTGAAGGTTGAAATTCTAGTTTAATCACTTGAAAACGAGAGCTGGGACATCAGCACTTTTTTAATATTTTAGGTCCTGTTTTAAAGGACATAAAATACTATGAAACTCGTGATAAATACACCTTGGGAAAACAGCACAGATGAAAAAAGAAATAGCAAACTTGTAGCCATGTTGAAATAAGGCTTCTTTCCTGTAAGATCAAGAGAGACCTTTCAACCTCTTCCAGCTGAGTATTAAGGATTTTGTAATATGAGATAAACCTGGCAGAGGGTCATGGCATTACCTAAGCAGAAAGATGCCAACAAAGCTGAAGGGAAACCAGTCTGTGGGTGAACCAGATCTGGCAGAAGACCAGCTGGCTCTTTGGAAAACTTACTTAAGACTTGACCCTTAACTCACAGCTACTGATTCTTTTCTATTTTAAAACTTGATTTCAAGTCCATGTTTAGTGCATTAGCAACAGGCTAATGCAACTGTACTGGCCTGCATCTTTAAGGCTACAGCACTGTTTGCCATCAGAGAGTATGAACATCACTGATAGTGGCACTTTGTGCCAGAGTTGTTGGTGTGAGTCGTAGGCAGGAGTTCTGCTAATAACACATTATCAAACATAAAATAGTGCTTGTGCTTAGATTTACTTTTCAAGACAGAGTAGTTACACAGGGGACTGCTACTTTATTTCTCACATTTCAGGGTTCTGGTATGTGTTCAGCTGATGCCCTGAATAGTAATCTGGACCTATGCTTTGAGAAGATTAGAAAAGGCACAGAGCTGCCCACATGCTGAAAATGAAAGACTAAAACAAGTGCCTGTGGATCAGAGCCAACAGGCTTGTCTCTGTCTTTCTGAGCTCCATACCCGAACAACATTGATTTCAGTATTATCAGCTTGTGAACCTTCACCAAAATCCATGGAGTTCAGCCTTAAGCAAGTCATGCATCTCAATACTTCTCAGGATCTCAGCTGGTATGTCTCTGCAAGGAGTACTGGATAAACTGGACATCAAGTTAGAGGAAATCAATCAAAGAGTGTGCCAATATACATGTGAATGGCCTAGACAGCACATATTCTGTATGTACTTTCTTAAGACATAAAAGCCCAGAACTGGTCAGGCTGTTGGACTGGATGGTCACTGTAGGTCACTTCCAGTTGAAACAGTGTATTCCCTTTTATCCTACTTGAAAAATCTGACTTAACCTCTTGCAGGCCATGACTCACTTTGCCTTAGGTTATCCTTAAATAATTTAAGAAGAGTAAAAGAAGTTT